AAAATGATATAAATGTCATTTGTGGACAGCAGGGTTTCTCATCTAGGGTTCCTCCAGAGGTTTCCAGGGGTTTCTTGAGCAATGAACAATTTTTGCCTCTCAGATAAGTTCCCACTGACAGCATTGATCTTTTTAGCAATCTGTAGGGAGTAATTCTTCCCAATGACCACAAGTGTAAGGAGCATTCTTACCTCTGATTATCACACTAACTTATCATGAATTGTAGATATAGTCATTTTAGCAGGAGTTCCCTGAGATCAGAAAGTTATGTCAAGGGTTCCTCTGAGTTGAAAAGGTTGAGAGAGGCTGGTGTACAATGTCGCATGACCGCGCAATTGTCAGTTAAAGTAAAGCAGTGCCAAAAAGAAAAAAAAAGGCCTGTCATGAAGTGGGTAAAATCTTCCAGAGCTCAAGTGGATACACATGAGATCACATTTTTCAAGGAAACATTTTGCAATACATGACCTCATTCATGAGTATGTTAGCATGCAAAGTATTTCCAAAACCCAGAGTGTTTTATCTCAATGCGTTTCATGAACAACATTAGCTTCTTCAGGAGGGGATTAGAGATACATAAGGGTCTATTATAGTATAGCAGTGGTCTCCAAACTGTGGTTTGAGGGCTGGATGTGGCCTTTTGCTTGCCTTTATCTGGCCCTTGGGGCCCTTGCATTAGTATGAAGTATTATTTACTCCTACTGACTCCAGTGAAGAAGCACCATTCTTTCCACCAACACCAAGAGTGGTGCATAATTCCTCTCATTGACGACAGCAGTGGGGCCCTATTCCTTCCACTGACACCAACGATGGGCCATAGTTCCTTCTACTGATGTATACATTGAAGCACTATTTTCCCACTGACATCAAAGATTCCTCCTACTGATAATGGGGCACTAATCCTTCCACTGACAACAACAATGGGGCACTGTCCCTCCCACTGACACCAATGAAGGGGGACTATTCCTTCCACTGACACCAATGATAGGGCACTATTTCTTCCAGTTCTTCCACTGACACCAATGATAGGGCACTATTTCTTCCACTGACATCAACTATAGGGCACTATTTCTTCCACTGACACCAATGATGGGGCACTATTTCTTCCACTGACAAGAATGATGGGGCACTATTCCCCCCACTGATACCAATGACGGGGCACTAGTCCTTCTAATGATACTGATGATGGGGCACTATTGCTCCCACTGATACCAATGATAGCGAACTATTTCTGCCACTAATACCAATGATGGGGCACTATTCCCCCCCCCACACTGATACCAATGACGGAGCACTAGTCCTTCCAATGATTCCATTGATGGGGCACTTTTGCTCTCTCTAATATCAATAATGAGGCACTAGTCCTTCCAATGATACCAACGATGGGGCACTATTTCTCCAACTGATACCAATGATGGAGCACTAGTCTTTCCAATGATACCAATGATGGAGCACTAGTCTTTCCAATGATACCAATGATGGGGCATTATTCCTCCCACTGATACCAATGATGGGGCACTATTCCTCCCACTGATACCAATGATGGGGCACTATTCCTCCCACTGATACCAATGATGGGGCACTATTCCTCTCACTGATACCAATGATGGGGCACTATTCCTCCCACTGATACCAATGATGGGGCACTATTTATGCCACTGATACCAATGATGGGGCACTATTCCTCCCACTGATACCAATGATGGGGCACTATTCCTCCCACTGATACCAATGATGGGGCACTATTCCTCCCACTGACACCAATGATGGAGCATTATTCCTCCCTCTGATACCAATGATGGGGCACTAGTCATTCTAACGATACCATCGATGGAGCACTATTCCTCCCATTAATATCAATGACAGGGCACAAGTCCTTCTAATGATACCATTGATGGCGCACTATTCCTCCCCATTAATATCAATGACAGGAGCACTAGTCCTTCCACTGATACCAATGATGGAGCACTATTCCACCTCCTACTAACCACAGGCATTTTCTACTCCTACTGGCTATAGTAAGCCACTGGCCCTTCTAAAGTTTGAAAGACAGTAAATTAGCCCTTTGTTTAAAATGTTTGGAGACCCCTGTAGTATAATATAGTAATCCATTACGACAATTTTTTTTTGGATTCCAGTATATATTGGTACGCAAAAAGTACTACTCAACACTGTTTTTCTTAACTCTGTTGTTGAAAAATAATGTTCTGGTGACAGAATCTCTTTAAATATAATAGGGGATATTGCCAATTTGGATACAAAAAGATCTCAGTTTAAATTCTTTGTAATAAGAAAAAAACATCTTTCATAATAATGTGGCTTTTACATCAAAACTATTTTGACATCTTTTTTTTTTTTCCATACAGCCTTGAGAATATTTTCTTTTATTCAGTTTGACGTGAACAGCTGCCGCAAGAGGGCCATCCTCCAAATTACGGATGCTGTGATGACTCTGACGCTGCCCTTAAGGGATACATGCAATTTGATTTTTCTTTTCAATTGACCTCAACCCCGGCAGACGATGGAAAAATAAAACACTTTCAGCATTGAGCTTGGCATTTATGCTGTCGTAATCGGGACCCCCATGGCCATGTCTTTATTGAATAACACAATGAGGCGTCCCTTGTCGTTCTGCACTGCCACAAGTGTGTTCGGGATCACATGACGCTGATGTGAATGGGACGTGTTGTGCCTACGTACCCAGAAGAGGCCATTTGTGTAGCCTGTAGCGCTCTGCGTTTCCATTACCAGCAAATACATTAGTCACTTATTCCTCACAATACCACATTACAAATTATTTATTTGTCCTTTGCTTTGGGCAAGTGCATTTCCCTGGCCCAGATTTACAGCTGCCATCATCCTCTCTATTGTAGACAGTGTACGAAAGAGGCCAAAGTAAGAGAAAAATTGAAGTTGGACTGGATATCTGTCATCTTAGATTGCAAGTTCTTGCAGATAGGATAGTTTTAAATCCCCTGGGACATGTTATATCCTCACTTTTGTAACAAATTTGTACATTTTGTAATATTTCTCACGAATAAACATGAATAATAAAGCACAACAATAATATATAGTGCCCAACCTGCAGCCTGGGGACCTGCATGTTGCCCTTTGGCACTTTTTGTGCAGCCCTCAGGGCCCCTGCAGACACTAATCTGTATTTTTTCCTATTGCCCTATTATAGCAATCATTTCTACTAATCTCATTCAATATGTCTCCAGTCTTTGACTGTCTCCTAATGCATTTCCCCAATCCCCAACAACTCATATAGAATGTTTACAGTCTCTGAAAATCTACTGCAGCATACCTGCAGTCTCTGACCATCTTCTGTATCATGTCCGCAATCTCTGACCATCTCCTGTACCATATCTTCAGTCTCTGACCATGTCTTGTATCATGTCCTCAGTCTCTGACCATCTCCTGTACCATATCTACCTTCTCTTGAATCATGTCTACAATCTGTGGCCATCTCCTGTACCATGTCCGCAGTCTCTGAACATCTCTTGTATTATGCCTGCAGTCTCTGAACATCTCTTGTTTCATGGCCGCAGTCTCTGACCATCTCCTGTACCATGTCTGCAGTTTCTGACCATCTCTTTGATCATGTCTGCAATCTCTGACCATCTCCTGTACCGTGTCTGCACTCTCTGACCAACTCTTGTATCATGTCCGCAATCTCTGACCATCTCCTGTACCGTGTCCTCACTCTCTGACCATCTCCAGTACCATGCCCACAGTCTCTGACCATCTCTTGTATCATGTCCATAATCTCTGATCATCTTTTGTATTATGTCCACATCTTCTGACCATCTCCCGTACCATATCTTCAGTCTCTGACCATGCCTTGTATCATGTCCTCAGTCTCTGACCATCTCCTGTACCATATCTACCATCTCTTGAATCATGTCTACAATCTGTGGCCATCTCCTGTACCATGTCCACAGTCTCTGAACATCTCTTGTATTATGCCTGCAGTCTCTGAACATCTCTTGTATCATGGCCACAGTCTCTGACCATCTCCTGTACCATGTCTGCAGTTTCTGACCATCTCTTTGATCATGTCTGCAATCTCTGACCATCTCCTGTACCATGTCTGCACTCTCTGACCATCTCTTGTATCATGTCCGCAATCTCTGACCATCTCCTGTACCCATGTCTGCAATCTCTGACCATCTCCTGTACCGTGTCCTCACTCTCTGACCATCTCCAGTACCATGCCCACAGTCTCCGACCATCTCTTGTATCATGTCCATAATCTCTGATCATCTTTTGTATTATGTCCACATCTTCTGACCATCCCCTGTACCATGTCTGGAGTCTCTGACCATCTCCTGTATCATGTTTGCATCCCTGACCATCTCCTGTATCATGTCCACACTCTCTGACAATCTCCTATATAATACCTATAGTCTTTGGCTATATCGCCTTTTGTGTTTGCTGTCTGACACTGAATACTTACAGAATTTTATGTGCAACCGTTTGGTGATGTTGGGGCTGCACTTGATGCCCCCCATATCAAGAAAGTTGACCACCACTGATCTAGTAGTGTTTACAGTTGCATTGAACTCGACTTGTCCTGTAGCATTAAAGACATTTCATAGCTTCTCCAAGTCACCTGAAGAAGTGGCTTGGAGAAGCTAAGATGCATCTTCTGCATTACAGAAAAGGTCTAGTTGAATGTGACAGATATATCAGGACCTAGATAAATAAGTACCTTCACAGGCACAACAATAAGGGGTCATTTACACCTATGGTCAGGCATCTGAGCCATGGTTTTACTGCCCTCTGATCCACCCCCTTAAGTTGCAAAGCAGCTAGATTGGGTTGTACACATGCTGCAGCTGTGAAGCTTTGCTATGTAGAGCAGCAAAAATGATACCCACTGTCACATTCAGCAGGCAGTGACGCCACCATATACAACCCATTTATGTGAATGGGACAACACCACAACCACTAAGTAACTTATTCACTCCCTTGTTATATCTCGCCTTGACTATTGTAACTCCCTCCTCATTGGCCGACCTCATCGCAGGCTATCCCCTCTTCAGTCTATCATGAATGCTGCTGCCAGACTCATCCACCTTACTAACCGTTCTGTATCTGCCACCTCTCTCTGCCAATCCCTCCACTGGCCTCCACTCGGTGTCCTCCACCCCTCTCTGCCAATCCCTCCACTGGCCTCCACTCGGTGCCCTCCACCCCTCTCTGCCAATCCCTCCACTGGCCTCCACTCAGTGCCCTCCACCCCTCTCTGCCAATCCCTCCACTGGCTTCCACTCAGTGTCCTCCACCCCTCTCTGCCAATCCCTCCACTGGCTTCCCACTCCCAGTGTCCTCCAATCACCCTCTCTGCCCCAAATCCCATCCACTGGCTTCCCTAAATTGCCCAACGGATAAAATTCAAACCTCCTACATTAGCCCCTTCACCTATAAAGCCATTTATGACTCTGCCCCAAATTACATCACCGATCTTGTCTCTAAATTTATCACCCAAACCGTATACTTAGGCGATCTCCTGTCTCTTCAGGGAAGCCTATCCTACTCTCAGCTAGCTCCCTTGTCCACTCCTCCTCCACATTACTACCTTTGTCCACTAGCCCCTCCCTCCTAGGACTGTAAGCACCAGGAGCTTCCCTCATCCTCTGGTATTGTTGTTGTATTGTCTTTCTTATATTATAAAGCGCTGAGCAAACTGTTGCGATATAAACTATCCACAACCCAAAAGCTGTGCTCACAGTTTTAGTGTTCTCTTGAAAACCTTCGGCTGCAAAAAAAAAGGGCTTCAGGAGGCAGCAGTATCCTGCCTCCTGAAATGCCTGTCAGCCTCACCAGTACTGCTCTCTGAAAAGCAATCTGCTGCTTTTCAGTGAGAAATGCTAAGCCTAACATCTGACACATTTTCAGTACAGTTTGGATTTTAAACTTCTAAAATATAACAATGGGGGTACAAGGCTCAATCGGGTCAGATGTTTTCCCAGGTACTATACTAGATCCAAAAACCTTCCACATCCTTGGTATGCAAACTACCATATGTAGCACTACCCCCGCAGGAGCCACTGGATTTGGTTGGGTGCCCCTAAGCTCTGCACAGCCAGGCAACAAGCATTTTTCCAAATCTTGCACCCAGAGTCAGTCAGAGTCGAGACAGTCCTTGAGTTTTTTTTTGTTGTTGTTTTTATTGAGGGGTTAACAACATGGATGGGGTCTAGGGATATATGGGATGCCAAAGGAGCTGAAAACTTGAGGACAAATTTATCAGCCAACTGTATACTGTACAAAAATATGGATCAGAAAAATAGCACTGTCTTTTTTTAAGGATCACTGAAGTCCCCTTGATGTACCTCCTCAGACCCCAGATGAATCCTTCCTCTTCACTCGGCTGCACTGAGGGTATCCCTGGACAAGGGATTTCAACAGCTAACAAATAAGTAGTCCCAGATGAGAACTGGTTAGGTCTTGCACCTGACCTCTCCCTCTGTCTGGCCCAGGGGGTGTAGAAGTACTCACACTGTCCCGTTCTGTTAGATTGATGAGTTTGTAGCTGCTTTCAGGCCTTATGCTGGGCTGGCTCCTTCGTTGTCCTCCCAAGGATACTTTGAGCAGTGGAGATCCTTCTTTCCAGTATCCTGCCTGTAGGTAGGCTCCCCTCCCTGGGGTCCCCTCCCAGGATCCACACTCCAGCCTTCTCTCAGATCATCCTCCACCTGACAGCAAAAACTCCCCTGCTGCACAGACTCTGCCAAATTTGAGGGTTAACCTTTGCCACCATGCCCTGCTTCCTGCCTAGGGATTGCCCTAAACTTGCAAATATGGGTCTCCTTCCCTCCTCTGCCCGTTCTAGAAAGTTCTCACAGTTTCTGGAAGGGCTCCAGAAGCCCTGATCTGTAGAACCTTCCAGCCTGTCCTGAGGTGAACTCATTCTACCTCACTCACCCCAGGCTGACTCATCTCAAACTGCTACCCAGCCTCTAAATAACAAAAAAAAATCATATCTAGCATCAGCAGGCGCTAAACATAGACCCCATTTTTTTTGTAAAATCTTGATGCATACAATCTCTGTTTATACTAAACACCTTTATTGTTGATAAAGTCAAGAACATCAAGTCTGTTCTGTCTGGCTACAATGATGGGATACCCCAATTTCAAATATCAATGTTTCTCTATTACAAAGCATAATTGTTATAAGGAGAATAACACTCAATCCAGCTATTCCTTAACCCATTGGTTCTCAACCTGTGGAACTTCAGGGCCCACATTTGTCCTTGTTCATTAAGTCGCGACCCAAAAATAACTGGATTTCCAAAACATTATAATTTATTCCCCACAACAACTTGTGCAGCATTCTACATTGTATATGCACTTTTTAAACAGTAATCAAATTGCTTCCTTCCAAAATGAATAGTGCAGTAATCACAGTGCTAGTGAAAATGAAAGTGCTGTTGAGGTAAAAACCCAATAAAATAAATGGTAATTGAAACATATTAAATTAATACGAAATATTGGGAAAACTGGGAATGCTTCTTGCTCCTGATAAGTGTCTCTGAGGTTGTGTTCAATGTTCATTCTGTTCTTTTTTTTGTCTTCAGATGAACCAGAACTATCCACCACCCAGCAACAACCCAGGAAAAGTACCTAATGGAGTCATTCCCTGGCGTCCAGTGGTGCTTTTCTTCCCTCCTGTGCGGCTGGCTGGCTGGAAATAAGTGTAGTTATGTCACTTCCTCCCAGCTATGCCATGGAGGAAGGAGGAATGAGCGCCCATGGGACCGCTTTGTAAGTGCACCATGCGCACCACCTGAATGGAACCCTCTGGTCGCAATAATACAAATATTAAGATCAGCTGTAGTTGTGGTCCTGGCTGTCTTAATATTTATATTAGTACGGCAGTTTTTATTAAGCTATGTTGTCAGGGTATCAGACGTTTTATTAAAGCATTAGAGAGGCCTGGGGGCACTTGCCATGCATCCCAGTCACAGCCTACTTTTGGGTCGTGAGCCATTACTTGAGAAACAAGGCCTTAACCAACATATACTGGAACAACCATATTAATATCTTGAATCTATTGAACAGAACGTTCTTCACATAGTGACAAACTTGGAAAGTAAAAGTACATTTTGGTCTTAAACATAATGGAGATTCTTTCTTTCTTTCTTGAACATTTTTCTTTCTTTTTTTCTTTCTTGAACATTTTTCTTTCTTTTTTTCTTTCCTTCTTTATTGAAATTCTCTTTCTTTTTTTTTAATTCTTTCCCTTAATTTTTGAAATTCTTTCTTCAAATTCTTTCTTTCTTTCTTCAAATTCTTTCTTTTTTTCTTTCTTTCTTTCTTTCTTTCTTTCTTTCTTTCTTTCTTTCTTTCTTTCTTTCTTTCTTTCTTTCTTTCTCTCTTTCTCTCTTTCTCTCTCTCTCTCTCTCTCTCTCTCTCTCTCTCTCTCTTTCTTTCTTTCTTTTCCAGACAGCTTCTTGTAGTGACTATACAGACATGAATTCACTGCAATCCGGAAACAACACATAAACTCATTGATCACTGCTCTTGCCAAATGTGCTGTCATTTTCTTATCCCACAATTCATCTCAGTTTACCTGCTCTTCCTTGACAAAGAACAGAGCCATCCAATAAGGAAATGCCTTTGTCAATTAATAAATCAATGCAATACAACATTGGTGGCAAACTTGGAGAATAAAACTACAGTTTGGCCTTAAATATAATAGAGATTCCGTCTTTCTTTCTTTTGGAAATTCTATCTTGAAATTCTTTTTTAATTATTTCTTTAAATTCTTTCTTCTTTCTTTCTTGAAATTCTTTCTTTCTTTCTCTCTCTGAAATTCTTTCTTTCTTTCTTTCTTTCTTGAAATTCTTGCTTGAAATTCTTTCTTTCTTGCTTGAAATTCTTTCTTTTCTTGAAATTCTTTCTTTCTTGACATTCTTTGTTTCTTTCTTGCTTGAAATTCTTTCTTTCTTTCTTGAAATTCTTTCTTTCTTTCTTGAAATTCTTTCTTTCTTGAAATTCTTTCTTTTTTTGAAATTCTTTCTTTCTTGAAATTCTTTTTTTTTTCTTTCTTGAAATTATTTTTCTTTCTTTCTTTCTTGAAATGATTTCTTTCAGCTTCTTGTAGTGACTGTACAGATATGAATTCACTGCTCTTGCCAAATGTGCTGTAATTTTCTTATTCCACAATTCATCTCTCTTTCTTCGTTCTTTGCTCTTCCTTGACAAAGAACAGAGCCATCCAATAAGGAAATGCCTTTGTCAATGAATAAATCAATACAATACAACATTTGTGGCAACACATCAGAGGACAATGGTAGTGCTCATGTTTACTTATTTTATTTAGCTGTCTTTCAGCAGGCCTTCTCTTATGAATGAAAGGGCTAATAAACCATATTTAAACCTTTTATCTTGTCCTGGGGGGTCCTAAAGCTGTTGTCCCCTCCTCTTTTTGTGGGTGACTCCAGGTGGCTCCCCTACCCCCCTTTTAGCTGCAGAGACAGTGGCCAGCTGTGTACATGTGTCGTGGTTGTGATGGTTTGCGACTGCACCAAGAATTACACCTCCAGTCACTTATGGCCCACCAATTGTGACACGTTCAAGTGAATGGGGTTGCTCTGTAGTATACAGTTGCAGGGTGCTAGTAAGGATTCCAGGGGGTTAAAGCAGGTAGTGAGGAGGCAATACAATGCTTTCTCACTGCCTATCAAACACCCCTATAAAGTATTTCAAGCATAGATCACTTTTCAGAGGAGCGGCAGTCCATACCACACATGTGAATGAGTCCTAAGTGCATTGCAGTGCCATTGATTTTGGATGTCAAACTTACTTATACAGCTGTCTTCCCGTTGATTTGGAGAGCGCTGGGTACTGGTAATGAAACCACACTGCCCAGGCCATCACTTTGTATAGAGAGCTCTGCAGTTAGAATCTTTTCTTCTCCCTAATTTGACCTCCTTTTTTTCAGCCTAAAGCATGAGTAGATTTTTGCCTATCTTTCTGCTTTATTGGCTGCATTGTAGATCAGCTTTCCCTCTAATGTGGCCGATATCACTGATATTACATCAGAAAAGAAGTTCTACATCTCTCACTACACAGGTACATTGCGCTCAGCCGTTCATACACACCAGTTCCAGATTTAATTAGCTTGTTGAGGCACTAAGATTTCTGATTTCTACAGTGTGGCTTAGAGTATCAGACGTTCATTTACATATAATGCAATCATTTGACTGATTCACCTGCATGTTTCTCAAATAATTTAAAATGTTTAACCTCCCTAGCGGTGCTGATTATGTCAGTATTTCTGTGCTCAAATCGGTAAAATTTTTTACATGCAAATATGTACTTTTTTTTATTGTAGGCCTGTAATTTTTAGGAATAACTCACTGAAATCTGTCCGAACAAGAGTCTAGTAAACATCCCCGGATAGGATAA